CCGCCCGCCACGTGCTACCCAGATGAAGAAGCACGGCAGTCAGGTGGCAAAATTTTCGTGGTTATTGAATCTGGTTGATAGGTGCATGTATGTTCTATGCACTGCTTTCTCTAATTTTGTGTGTGCTTGACATTTTTCATATTAAAAGAAGCGACAGCGACAGCAGCCACAGCCCGCCCAGAACAGCCCTCACTGGGTCCTCCCCTTCAGGCTCAGTGCGAGCAGCTTCCCCAGGGGCTGAGAGTGATCATTGCGGCCCCCTACCTGGCCTCTACCAGTTAACTGATTTCCTATTTTGACTTAAGTGTTGCAACACCTACTTCTTCCCTTGAAAAACCCACAAGCAGTTTGTAGAAAATTTGAAAATACATCTTCAGAGAAAACCATGCAGATTAGGGTACTTTCTTTGTAGCAAAACCACAAAAATACTAGAAAAAAGTCTTAAAAAGCTTCGATAACAGAAACCTCCAAAGTCAATATGTGCATAGATTTTAAAAAATTGGAAAGTGTAAAAGAAAATAAAACTTCAATAAAAAAATGAAGAGAGTCCAGAAACAATGCCAATGATGGCAGCCACTGGAGGGGCAGTGGGGTTGAGGGGAGGGAGCGTCCTGGGTCAGGGGCCCTTCCAATTCTGCCCTGAAGAAAAGACAGGCTCCCCTCAGGAGAGAACAGGACACCGCTGTGCTCTTTTAATGCGGTATATTATCACGGGACACATAAAAGTCTGGGAGGCTGAAAAACAAAACTGACTCAATCACAACATATCAGTGAAGGAAAAGTAATTTAGAAATTAAATCTAAAATGAGGAATGTTAACAAGTAAATTATAATTTAAGAGGAAATTATCAGTGTCAAAAGACATTGTGTAAGTTCATTTTGCGGAGTAGAAAGCCGAACTCGGGAAAGTGAAGTGATTTGCTCAAGGTCACTCGATCTGAACGTTGGCGCCTGGATTTGACTCCTTAGATTCTCCACAACGTTTTGTTTTTCTACCCTTTTTTTTTTTTTTAAGAAATGATAATCCAAAATTTATATATATACGATTCTAGTTTAAACTTACAGACTTGACGATGATGCCCCATTGAATCTCATTTTCCACTGTTCACCAATGATACCCTGTGCTCTATGTAAATTACTGTCGTATGGGGAAAAACCACCTTAAAGTCA